CTCCCGCGTGAGCAGGACTGACCTTTACAGGGGTGCGGTTTAAAAGAGCAGCTGCAAGATGTGGATGCCGTTGAGGAAGGTGTCTGGGGCCTCCTGTCGTGCCGCTGCCACAGGCATGGGTCGCCCCTCACATCTGGGCAGCAGGCACACGGCAGCCTTTTCCCTCCAAGAGGGCTCTCTCCAGCTCCACGTGGGTCCTGCTTTTGCTTTGTGTCCGCTTTCTGCTTGGTGACTGCATGTGTCCTGTGGCCTCACAGGGGTGCCAGGGCTGCCCACACGTTCCTGTGTCCGAGGATTGGTCCTAGTGGCCCTGACCACAGACATCCACAAGGGGACAGGACTCACTCAGGTGCACCCTGCATTCACACCCAACTCCTTTTGACAGGTTCTGCTTTTCTTTTGTAGAGATGGGGTGTTGCCTGTGTTGCCCAGGCTGGTCTCAGACTCCTGGCCTCAAGCAGTCCTCCCACCTCAGCCTCCCAAAGTGCTGGGATTGCACACGTGAGCTCCTGTGCCCACAGTAGCAAACAAAAATGCCACTAGAAAGAAGATACCTTTTTTTTTTTTTTTTTTTTGGGTTGGAGTCTCACCCTGTCACCCAGACTGGAGTGCAGTGGCCGCTCCTGCTGGGCTCCGGCGATCCTTCCACCTCAGCCTTCCAAATAGCTGGAACTACAGGTGAGCGCTACCACACTCGGCTAATTTTTTTCATTTATTGTAGAGATGAGGTCTCACCAAGGTGCCGGGCGGGTCTCGAAACCGTGGGCTCAGGCAGTCCACTTACCTCAGCCTCCCAAGGTGCGGGATTACAGGCTGAGCCACCGAGCCTAGCTCAGAAGATACCTTTAAAAGAAACGCAAGTTTGACGCTGTCGCCTCCCTGTGCCGTCTGGCCCCTGCCCTGTGTCCCTACCTGCTTCGACCGTCTCCCTCTAGGAGGCTCTGCTCGTGGCTTCCTCTGCTGGGAATGTTCTTCCTGCTCCTGCCTCCTGGCCTCGCCTCCCGACCATCTACGGGCTTGTGCCACACCCCCTCCTCCAGGCCGTTCTGGCCCTCTCCCCAGCCCCCATGTCTCCTGTGTGAGGCGCCCGACCCCGCTGCACTCGCAGGGCTGTCTGGGTCCTCCTCCCGTCCTATAGGCACAGGCTCCATGAGGACCGCGATCAGGACCCTGGTGGCCCACCCCGAGCACCGTGCTGGTGCAGGGAAGGTTCTCAGTATTGTCGAGGAAGGCCTGGTGGCCCGCCATCCGCACAGGTGACCAGTGCCATCCCTCCTTCAGAAAGTGCGTGTGAAGGCGGGAGGCGCCCCATGCACAGGGCCCCTTCTCACTACTGAGGAGGTTGGGGGTGCGGGCCCAGCGCCCGAGCCCCCAGGGGCCGTCACCTTTCCCATCAGAAGGTGGAGCCTGGGGGTCATCTGTCAAGTAGCAGAAGAGGGAAACCGTTCCCCAGGCAGGTGGTGGCTTCCTGGTGACAGGCTCAGGCCTGGGGTCAGACGTAGTTGGTGGGACACTTCCCAGTGGTGTGACCTTGGCCTCTCCATCTGTGTTCCCTGCCCGTTTCCTGGAGCCGCTCTCTGGTTTCGATGGAAGCGTTCACGGAAGGCGTGAGAGCCAGGCCTCCTGTGCAGCGGGGCTGGGTGCTCCCTCCGGCCTCCACGGGGTGCGCGGTGTCTTGTGCAGTGGCCCCTGCTCACACGGCTGGCAAGGGGAGGGGCGTGGCCCCTGCCCTCAGGGAGATGGCAGCTCCCTTCAGCCTCTGCCTCTGGAGGGAGGGCCTGGGAGGGGGACTTCCTGTCGCCCCAGCCCTTGGCTGAGCCCCGGGCTGTGTGTGATGCTTGCCAAGAGGCTCATGAGAAGAGCAGAGGGCGGTCCAGAGCCCCGGGCGCGTCCACGCTCGCCCTCCCCACCACGTCCTCCTGGCTCCTTGGCCTTTCTTGTCTGTGGGTCCGGAGCAGTCCACGGTGCCGTGGCGAGCTTGACTGTGCTGGAATGTTCCCCGAGGAGGCAGGGTGCTGTTCTGGTGGTTGCTCACACCCAGCAGTCCTGGGCTGCGGACTGGTGTTGGCAGAAGGAGCTCAGGTCAAGCAGCTTCCCCAGGGCCACAGCTAACCGCGTGAGGGAGCCAGGCTTCGAGTCCAGAGCTGGCCAGCCCTTCCCACTCAAGCCTCGTATGGCTCTGGGCTGCCTGGAGGGCCTTGAGTCCGCAGGGTAGCCACGTGCAGACCCCCACACGGACGGGTGTCCGCACCCCACTTTCTGCTGTGGGTATGAGTGAGGAGACGGGCCCTGCGAATGGCCTAGGCTGCTGTGTCAGGGGTCGACTGCGGGACACTGAGGTCCTGGGCCGCGGAGTAGCTTGGGGGCCCTGTGCCCCTGGAGGGGTGGGCCAGCTGGGCCGCAGGGCCACCTGTGTGCTCCCCTCGTGGCCGCCGCCCCCCTTCCTCGCATGGGTTGCTGGTTTACTGCCTGTTTCCCAGCCGGCCACCTCCCTTCCCTGCTGTGTAACGCCTTTTCCGTGGCCAAGAGTGGGGAGTGTGTTTGGGCGGGGGAGTACCAGGTTGTGATGGCTGGACTCAGGGTCTTTTGGCCATGCGGTGCTGGAACGCGGGACGCTCCGTGGCACCTCCCAGCCACACTGCCTTCCCCTGAGGGCAGCATTCAGTGACCACCTGCGATGGTCAGCACATGGTTATGGGGCAGAACTTACGGCCAAGCCTTGGTTCGCACAAGCATCTGAGAGGCTTCAGCCAAGCTCGGCGGTCCACAAGTTAGGCGCACATGCATTTCTTTTTTCTTTTTGAGTTGGAGTCTCACTCAGTTGCCCAGACTGGAGTGTAGTGGCCACCCCCGGCCACCGCAGCCTCGACCTGCTGGGCTCCGGCAATCCTTCCGCCTCAGCCTTCCAAGTAGCTGGAACTACAGGCATGCGCTACCACGCCCGGCTAATTTTTGATTTATTGTAGAGATGAGGTCTCGCCAAGTTGCCCAGGCGGGTCTCGAACCCGCGGGCTCAGGCAATCCACTCACCTCAGCCTCCCAAGGCGCGGGTTTACAGGCTGAGCCACCAAGCCTGGCCTGCGCACATGTATTTCTGACCTACCGCATTCTCCGCTTATGGCCGGTTTGCCAGGACGCAGCCCCGTGGCGAGTCGAGGAGCGTCTGCACTGACCAGAAAGTGCCGCAGGACTGAATGGTCTCTCCTCCCACCCTCCCATGTCTGGAGGCAGCGCAGAGCGGGCCGGCCTGTTTATAGCAGGCTTCCTGCCACGCTTGGCAGGCCCAGAGAAAAGCTGACACCAGCAGGTCCTGAGGACTCGGCTTGCCGAGTTTCCAGTGTGTTCCATCCTCCCCTCACTTAGGGCCTGCCGTGGCCAGAGCCCGGCCTCATGCAGCCTCCCACGGTGGCAGTGTCACCGCCCTCCCACCGCCTTCTTGCCGCCGGGGGAGGCAGTGCTGCCTCTCTGTAAGCTGTGTGGTTGCTGACTGTGGCTGAGAGCCCAGGCCACGCGGGAGAGTGGCATTTCTGGCCTGGCCAACCTGCGAGGGTCTCGTTTTGCGCGCAGTGGGCAGGGGAAGACGAAAGCAGAGCGAGGTCTGCCGGCGGTGCTGCGACGCCCTCAGTGTCAGGGCTTTCCCCTTCCCATGTTGCCTTCTTCCTGTGGCCTGCATCCCAGAGTGTGAGGCTTTTAGAGACCAGGGAACACCCAGGGATGTGGGGAAGGGATCTGGCCTTCAGGCCTGCGCTCGTGTCTCCTCCCCGTGGCTGCCCGACCCAGCCATGGACAGTCACCAGAGCGCTTTGTGTACGCCTGGCCAAGTGGCAGTGTGGGGAGCGGGCAGACGCCACCGCGTGGCTAAAGTTTCCATGGGCCTCGCCGCCACTGTGTGCTGTGAGCAGGGCCAGCCGGGCGGCAGGTACAACACTGGGGTGTTCACTTTCTCTGCTGAGCAGGGCTTTCCCTTCTTTTTTTTTTTTGAGTTGGAGTCTCACTCTGTCGCCCAGACTGGAGTACAGTGGCCGCTCCCGGCCACCACAGCCTCGACCCACTGGGCTCTGGTGATCCTTCCGCCTCAGCCTTCCGAGTAGGCGGAATTACAGGCACGCGCTACCACGCCTGGCTGATTTTTGGTTTATTGTAGAGATGAGGTCTCGCCAAGTTGCCCAGACGAGTCTCGAACCCGCGGACTCAGGCAATCCACTCACCTCAGCCTCCCAAAGGCGCGGGATTACAGGCTGAGCCACCGAGCCCCAACTGACTGTCACTTTTTAAGTCTCATGTGCACAGCAGCCCGGAGTGCAGCGGGCCCAGGGCGAGGTTGGCTGGGCTGTCTTGTCTCTGAGAGGTGGAATATTAAAAGCCAAAGTCCACCTCCATCTCACCCCCCCAGTGCTGTGGGCAGAATTCAGCAGACGGTGCTTATGGTACCTTCCGGTGGTGTCCCAACAGGGAACAGGGAGACTCCTGGGTCCAGCCAGGACTCCTAGGAGACCACTCGATATGCAGAAGTGATCTAGCAGAGTGACATGGGCCAGGGTGCCCAGCCAGTCGCCATGTTCTGGGAAGGGAGGAGATCGCGTGCTTTGAAGGGAGGACGGGATCACTGGTGAGATGCTGAGCCCGGAATGGTGCTCAGCAGTTATTCCAGGGAGTTTAGGACGTGCGCGCTGACTGGACAGCCTCCCCTTCCTGCTGGCGGCGTGTGGCATGGACACAAGTGCTTCTGCTTGGACGTAGAGAAAGCAGCCGCTGCGCCTGTCCTGCTGGGGGGTGTCGCTTCTCACCAGCTGGCCTATGTGCCTGGTCCCTCCCCTCTGTAATAAACCGATTTTTTTTCAATTCTGTGTCATCGTGTGGTTCTTCCAACATTTTTCTTAACAGAATAAACACTGGCGCACACTATTTTGGGGTGGTAGGCAGATGACTAGCGGGCAGGGACGAGGAGGGAAGGTCAAAGCTGTCCCTTCATCAGTGCTAAAATGCCTTTTTGTTTTTAGGATAAGGAAGCCTGTGTGGGCACCAACAATCAGAGCTACATCTGTGACACAGGACACTGCTGTGGACAGTCTCAGTGCTGCAACTACTACTATGAGCTCTGGTGTAAGTCCTTGCTGCGCGGTCTTGGGGTCTGGGTTCCTGCCTCTGTTGGGGGAGCCACGGACTGGCAGCTTCTCTTGGGGACAGTGCTGGCAAGTGGAGCCTGCTGACGGCGCCAGCACTTCCTCTGCAGAGGAGCCATGTGCCCTTGGGCGACACAGGCTGGCCTGGCGAGCGGGGTCTGCCTGGCCAGTTGTGGACGCCCCCGCCGGGCTTCTCCCGGGACCCTCTCCATGGTGCGCCGAGCCCTGGCTGCTTGGGTGTCCCCTTGGCTGGCCCAGCAGCCTGGACTTGCCCGCTCGGCAGAGGCTGTGAGCCACGTGGTGTGGTTGCCGGAATGAGCACTCGGGGGCTGCACTGCCGTCTTCTTGTAGGACCTCGGGGGCTCCCGATTGCCCTCGAGCTTCACGGGCTGCCTCTTCTGTGGTTCCCTCTGGAGGGGATGGCCTTTCCCAGGCCCGCACCTGCGGAGCCCTTTCGTTTCACCCCGTCCTTGAGCTGAAGCTCCTGGAGGCTTCACGGCGCCTCTCTGGTGCCGCCAGCCCATGCCCCTTTCTGAGGAGCCCCCACGGAGCCTGCAGCTTCGCTGTTTTAGACGGGGCGGGGCTCAGGGACTTGCTGAGGAACACAAGAGAGCCAAGCAGGTGGATGGGCTGCATGTAAATGTTTTAAGATGCAGATAGCTAGGGTTCCGTTTCTCCCTCTCACCCTGTTAAAGTCGAAGCTGGGCTGCCAAGAGGCCACAGAGCTGAGGCCTGGTCCTCGAGACTGGCCTGGCGGTGCCAGCTGTATCAGGAGCTGCCACAGCCTGCCTGACTGGCAGAGCTTCCTGGGCCACGGAGCAGACTCGGTGGACCCTGGAGGTGGGAGTGAGGGAGGGGACAGGGCGACCCAGATGGCAGATGGCAGCTGCTCGTGAGGAAGCAGGTGCTTTACCAGGGCTGGCAGGTCAGAGGAAGAGCCACATGGTGCCACGTGCCCTCCAGTGACGGGCAGTAGGCGGGAGGCGGGCAGGGCAGCACCTAGACGGGCGAGGGCTCCTGTCACACGGGTGGTGCTTGCTCTCCGAGTTCTCGGGGGACGGGGTCTGAAAGCAAGATGGCCGAGCACAGCAGCTCAGGCCTGTCATGCCCGCGCTTTGGGAGGCCAAGGCAGGAAGACTGCTGAGCCCGGGAGGCGAGGCTGTGGTGAGCTGCGATCACAGCCCCGCACTGAGTGTGGGTGTGAACGGGCCTGAGCCTCGTGAGTTGCGCTTTGTGTCTTTGAGCCCATCCCTCCACCTGCGTCTCAGCCTTGCCTGGACGTGGAAGCCAGGGCTTTGGGTGGTTTTCCCCTTCCCCTGGAGGAAAACCCTCAGCCAGGAGCTGCTTCAGAGTTCCCATGAGACATGCTGCCTCCTGGGTGGCGGCGGCCCTGGGAGAGGCGGCCAGGGAGTGTCGCTCCCACCGGGCCTTGTGCCTGCTGCCCCTTGGCAGGACTTCCCGTGCACTAAGGGCTGCCGTGCACACGCACGCACAGCTGTGCATGTCCTTCCACCCGCTGCAGCTTGAGCCAGCTGCCAGGCTGCATGGACAGCCCTGCAGGTCTGTTTCCAGCACAGCTGTTGCAGCCGCGGGACCTGGCTGTCGGCCGCCCCATGCCTTCTCGGGGCACTTGCACCGCGGTGTGCCGCTCCATCCTGTGTTCACTCAGCACACCTGTGCTCCTCTGGTCGTGGGCTGGGCGGCGCACGGATGTCCTAGAGGGCGATGGGGGCACAGACCCTGGCCCTACCTCCCGGGCTCTGGCTCAGTGAGTCTCACGTGGGCCTGAGGACTGACGTTATGCAAGCTCCTGCTTCAGGGACAGCGGCCGAGAGGAGATGGCGCAGGATGTCCCGATCCCAGGAGCCTGAGCCGGAGCTCTGATTCTCGCCCAGGGAGGCGCTGCAGTTGGGACTTTTCTGCCTTGAACTGGGGGGGGGTTTCCCGCCGGCCCCAGCGTTCCCCAGTGCAGGTTTCCGGGCTTCTGTGGGGAGGCTGCGTTTCTGGGCGGGCATTTCCCCAAGGTGGCAGCAGACCGAGCCAGTGCCACCCAGCTGTTTCCATCTGCCGTTGCTTGGCTTCTCTCAAAGCACCCGCTGTTGGCAGGGGTTCGGTAAGCAGGAGCTGACCGAATTTCCAGTGGACTTTGCCAAGAACAGAACCTAGAAGCACCTCCGGCGTGTTCCCAACCCACTTCTCTTTATGGAACGCTCTCTGGGGATTAAAAGGGACCCAAGGGGACACCCTTCGTGCTGGGTTCCGCCCATGACACTGCTGCCCCAGAGAGCTGCCTGCCTGTCGGGCCCGGGTCTGAGCACGCCATGCGTGTTCACTGGTTTAGGCCTCACTTTCACAGGTAAGGGAATTCAAACCTGCGGCCAAGGCCACAAGTAGGAAGTAGGTTTCGAGCTGGGCCGTGGCCCCAGGCCATCTGCCTCTTCTGTGGGAAGGTCAACCAGGCTTTTGGAAGGAGTTGCAAGTCGCCAGAGTCTCCTTTCTCGAATTCAGGCCTTGTCCCCAGGGGCAGTGACTGGTCTCCTGCTGAGAGCTGAGGGCCGAGATATCATCACAGTCCTGTGGGCAGGAGCATTGACTTACAGGTGTCTGTGCTTCCTGTGGGGAATTTCCTGCCAGTTGGGAAGCGGTGTCCTCCAAGTTTGTGGGGCCCTCTGACCGGCCCCCTGTGTTGGACTGTGATTGTTTTGGTCTTTTTGTTTTTTGGGGTTCTCTTTTGAGTTGGAGTCTCACTCCATCGCCCAGGCTGGAGTGCAGTGACACACTCACAGCCACCCAGTATTGACCAGGCAATCCTTCCGCCTCAGCCTTCTAAGTAGCCGGAACTACAGGCACGTGCTACCACGCCTGGCTAATTTTTTAAAATTTGTTATAGAGATGAGGTCTCACTGCTG